CCGAGAGCGAGCAGAGGCGAGGGGAGAAAAGAAGGTGTTTAAGTCTCTGTTTCCCTTATCCCAGAATGCAAAACAGCAATTTCCATGTTAATTTGGAGGGTGACAGGAGAGATGGATGTTTTGGAGGGGTTTTTTTTAGCTGATGTCACGCATCCATTGAGGAGCTAAAACAGCGTGGAGGTTGAGGTCGCTGAACGTAGGATGCAAGATTACCGCGTGGGCTGGAGCGACACGTTTAGCATTTAGGTCACGATCCTGTCCAACACGAACGAGCTGGGAAAACTTAAACCTGTCTCGCAGACAAAACTCCGGCTGGGATGCCTCGTCTGCGGTCGTGGCGGGAGGCTGACGGCAGACGTTCAGTCAGCAGAGAGTGTGCAGTCAGGAAGCTGTGTGAGCGACAGAGCAATCCTGAAACTCCTCATCCATAAGGCTGTTATTGATTTGCAGTTAATTGAATGATTACAACCTTAGCAGCTCAGCTGAGCGCTGCTGTCAGTCAGCGTGGCAGTTTGCATGTGTGTGTGTGTGTGTGTGTGTGTGTGTGTGTGTGTGTGTGTGAGCCACCTGATGGGCTGTCGTCCTGCCTCACAGAGGGAGTACGTACCCACTATTAGCGGCTCCAGCTTTAGATGCGGTTTGTTGCTTCTGTTCCACGTTCTACTGTAGAAAACGCCGCGATCGTGTTGCTCTTGCTCGTCTCTGGACTGACACGGAAGATGTATTCATAAGCAAACTGCTTCGCCAATATCACCGCTGCAGCTATTTTCCTCATTAGGTTTCTGCTCCTGGTGTTCCGTTTCCCCCTCACAGCCTCTAATATCCTTTACCGACGGCAGCTTGCGAAACCCAGCCTAATTTCCTTCACGGATCAATGGAGCTCTGCCGTGTTTTCTAAATACAGATGCGAGCGTAATGACTGGATCAAAATGAACGCCCGGAGCTGTTGGTATGACAAACTGTGGATGCAAATCCAACCTGTGCGACTGATGTATTCCTGTTCCCAGCTCCCTCTGAGAGCACCAAGCTGAATCAGGGAGATCTAAAAAGAGTTAAAAAATGTCCGGTTAACCTCCAACAGGCAGGTCTTTTCAGCAGTGTAAGGATCCTGCACGGATAAATGTGTGAACCGAGGAGGACTGCAGCAGAAGGAAAGGAAAAACACAGTCTGGAACTGATGCCACACACCATTTGCTCACTGATGCTGCAATGTCCAAATTCAAAAGTTGGAGAAATTTACCTGAACTCTAAATTACTGCTGAAAGGTTAGAGACGTGTCCTCAACCTAAAAATCCAATATGGCTGCCACAGGAATGCAATGTCTGTTGAGCCTCATCACGTCAGTCAGACAACAATCCTGAGAGCCGCACTGAAGGACAGAACATGTAAAAAACAAAAGAAAGAAAAAGACCCGTCCAATCAAAGTCCAGAGCTACATCCAAATGAGATTATGCGACAAGACTAGCCAATTAATCTTAGCAGATCCTCCTCATCCAGTTTGACTGAGCTTGAGCTCTTTCGCAAAGATTGTCCGAGAAATTCCATCTCTTTTTGTGAAACATTAAAATAAATAAATCTGAGTAAAATACTCTCAGCTTTGCGGTTATATAATGTGGGGAAAAAAAGAAGTAAGGAACTTCAAATGGTCTTTTGCAAACCGTGGTAAATATCAACTAGCAGTCAGGCCGAGAGTCATTGATTTGCTAAGACAAGCTGACTGCTAGAAAGCCGAGCAGTAAAGCTACATATCAGTGTGTGTAAAGTGTGCAGATGGTTTCAGGCTGCGTCTGACACGCCTCACTGCTTTGTAGACATGCTATATATATATATATAAAGCTGGTACTTTGGCATAGACTGAAATCTGTGATGCAAAAATCCCAGCGGCGATGTTCCTTGTTTGTGTGTGTGTGTGTGTGTGAGCACTAATAAGACAAGCAGACACAGTTTTTCCACTGCGGGGTTGTGTGTGCTGTGCAGAAGAGCTCGGGGCTTCATGTACAAACATATGGTCTTGACTGAAGAAGGGCTGATCCCTGTGGCAGGACGCTGCACAAATAAGACACACACACACGCAAACAATCCGGTCAGATGTGGGTTCAGGGCAAGAGCCGTGTGTGTTCGCATGTCCCTTTTTCATGTTTTCGGGATGTTTTGACCAGCAGGTCGGCTTCTCTTAATCTGACCACAGCAGCAGCCGCGCGGCCTGGTTAAGACGTGAGGAAGTTTATCTCTGCTTTTCAGCTCTGTTATTTCCAAACTGGTTTTAGTTTTTTACATATAAATCACGAGCAGAAGCTGCCCTGCAGTTCCTAAATGAAACAGATGGTAAAGCTCTCCCCTCCTCGCCACATTCTTGGTCTTGTCTGACTCAAGCAACCCAAACGGGCACGGATTAGGAGGGGGGAAAAAAAAAAAGAAAAAAAGAGTGTGTTGTGCTTTGCCGGGGCACGACAAGCTGCTGTCGAGGAAATCATTAATCAGATTTAGTGGAGGAGTCGTGGCTGACCTCCCGGCTCCTCTACTGGAACGACATCCAGCCAGACGACTCAGCGAGAGCTCTGGCCGATTCATCAGCGCGCAATCTGCTCGGAACAGGAAGCATCAGGTAAGAGTGTGAGAAAGTCACAAATCACGCGCTTCCTGTTTAGCTCCGAATGCAAACAGATGAAAGTGTAATTATTCCCCTCAGCGCGTTTGCAATTAGAAGCCTTTTTATCGGGTGCAGCAGCAGCAGCAGCATTGTTTGGGTTGGTTAATCGAGTTGGACGGACGAGTTCCAACCGTCACCTTCCCGCTCGGCGCAGGGGGAGGGAGGGGGTGGATTACATCAGGTCTCACAGGGATCAACTGGAATGATAAGATATTTTACGTCCGTTAACATGGCTGGCCTAGCATGTCGGTGTGAAAAACCGGACTTCATCCGCTCCCGTGGCTCCCAACGCGTCTCCCAGCACAGGGAACCAGTGGGAATCCTCTCTGTCTGGATTTGAACAAGACATCCCGGAAGATGTGCTAGAAGACTGCACTTCCCTGAGGGGAGAGGAAAACAACAAAACTGAGCTGAAAGTTTTGAGGCAGACTCCCTGATGTTTGGTGCATTAATAGTGGCTCCCTGAGTTCCCCCCTCTGCATCCCGACCAGCTTTTTCCTGAGTTTACATAAAGGTTTCGCAAATCAAAATGGTATGGAGCCCCCTGCTGGATGGGCACCCTGGGTGGTGAGCCACATTAATCATTTCAAAAAGCTGTTTATGAGAACATACTGGACTCCTGGAGATGCTTTAGTTCTTTGGTATGTAAATCAAAATGCTGCATGTCTTATGCTCTGAAAGTTCTTTGTTGGAGTAACAACGGCTGAAGTTACAGGAAGACTAGCTGAGTGAGTTCACTGAGGTTCAGTTTCTAACTCATAAAGCAACTCAGTAGTATAATACTTTTCCTCTCAGTCCTTTGTTTCGCTACAGAACAACTCCACTTTGGATATTAACGGCCATATTAACTGTAATCAAGTGAACAAACTTTGTCTCAGAATAAAATATACTTTTTATTTCATATTATAAATCACATTTTATTTCAAGATGTACAAAATACAAAGCAGATTTTTTTTCCCCCCTAAATGCTAAAGTTTGCTCCTATTAGTAAAAATCAGGCTGAGCTTCGAATGGATCTGCTTCTAAATACACAAAATACTCCCAATTGCAGTTATTTAAAGTTAAAATATTTATTACTCTTTAAAATGCTTATATCTCTAATAAGGCAAATGTGCACTTTAGAATAATGTAAACTTTATAAAATCATTAAAAAAAAAATAAATGTGTATTTACCAGAAGAGACAATTCACTCCTGGCATCTAGCTCACAGCTTTTTTTTTTTTTTTTTTTTTGTGGAGTGCTTGACAAAAACCTCACCTCCTGATACCTGCTGTTGGTCTACAGTGTGTGAACATGTCAGAGGCGACTCCAAACAGACCCTGGAGTCCATTTATATTCTACAATCATAGCTTATTTTCTTTTACAGGGCTTACAAAACTGTAAGACAGTTTCTGCCCCGTTCTCTTGTTGAATAAATCAGAATGTTCTACTTGGCATCTAAGCCCTTTCCACTGTTTACTCTGACATTCAGAGAGTGTGTAATAGAGAGGCTAAAGTGGCTTGTTGGAGGCTTCCTGTGTGTGTGTCATGTGATTTAACTCTGCCCGCTGTGCTCAGACACAGGATGCAGCACAGGGATCTGCTCTTACCGCACCTTAAATATGTGCCGCTGGATTTTATGGAGCAGAACGGCTTTTCCTGTACATCCTGTCTACACGCACAATCAGCTGGACCAGCACTGAAAAACGCTGCAGTCCAACTTATCAATGAGTCGTATCAAAACAAAGAGTTTGCAGGCTAACGTTAGCCTAGCATTGCAGAAAAAGTGGTCAGTTCAGAACCAAATGTCGGAACTGCATGTTTTAAGCTGCATGGTCTGATTAAAATGGTAGCTTTATTACCAGTTAACCTGTGTTGGAGCAGCATGCTGCAGGTGACCTGCTGCTGGGATAAAACGGAGAGGAAATGACTGAGGAGAAACAAAGATTGTCAATAGTTACTAAATATGAGGGATTCTGATAACGTTTATGGTGTTTTTTTTTCTTTCTGATCAAACTTTGCAGCATTTATTTTGATAACTTTATTGAGGCCGTCCAATCTGACTGGGTATCTTCCAGTGCCTGCTGTGCAATCAGGAGGTTCCAAGTTATCAGCACGCAGAGAAGTGCCAATGTGAACAAGTTCAAAATTCGTTAAATAACCTTTTCATGAACACGTTGCATTTCATTTAACCACAACAAAACCATGGTGCTATGACGGATTCGAACCTCAGTCTTAATGAAATCCTGCACGAGCCACAGGAAAACAAGAAGCGCGTTTTTTCTAAGACCGTCTCCACCGCTGCGTCTCTCTGGACGTTTGAGAACACACGGGGTGAGAACCTCCCCAGGGAAATATCTCATTATGCTTCTTTTCAGGGAAACAATTCGAAAACACACACACACAAAAAAAAAAAAAAACACTTCCACAGCCCCATGAAAGTCATTACAGAGATTCAAAGAAGTAGCTGAAGAGCCCTGAGGTAAAAAAAAAAAAAAAAAACACAGAGAAAAACTATTACAAACAGCATGAGGCTTGCATCTCCAGTGGAAGTGTCAGTGAAATGCTTCTAATGAAGCTTCAGAACCCGGCTGGTGAAACGCTCCACCTGCAGCATCGGGTCAGTCTGCTCTGCATTGTTCTGGAGGAAAAGAGAGGGGTCACAGCAAAAACGTCTAAGCGTTGAAGGGTTTCCTGTTTCTGCCGGGATAGTGAGCTCCGTACTGCGCGTCCATCTCCTCCACCCAGGCCAGGCTCCAGTCCCACGCGGGGATGGGCTCCAGCTCCCCGAAGGCATCGCCGTCCGAACGGAACGGCGGGTACAAGGCGCTGAGGGGGGAGGCCGGCGGCGAGAAGTCTGAACACAGAACAAGACGACAATCCGCGCTGAGGACGTTAATCCGATTCAAAGATTCATGAAAATAAAAAATAAAAATAAAAAAGCAGCGGCTGCTCAGCCACGTGGCAGTAGAAGTTAAGGTGTTTTTTAGTCACAGCAGAAAAGAGCCGAAAGTGAGAGTTTGACGGATGGAATGAATCCTGTGGGGAACGGGCAGAGTGATGGATGAGGTGACAAAGAGGGGCAGAAATCTGAGACTTCAGTTTGATGAAAGATTTTAAATAAGTGGGAGCAGGAATCGGAATGGATTCATCTCTCTCCAAGCAGCAGGCATGTGCACAATTACTATATATGTTTTTTATATATATATATATATATATATATATATATATATATATATATATATATATATATATATGTGTGTGTGTGTGTGTGTATATTGTGCTGTTTCTATAGAGGAAAGAGAACATTTCACAGAGACGTGAAATCTAAGAAGCTGTCTGCTGTAAGTAAGGAATCATGGCTGAATGGCGCCATCTGCAGGAGAGACGTATAAATCACATCGTGGACCGCAAACTGATGTCTTTGGTTTTATCCTCTTCAGTCAGGTGAAGAAGAACCATGCAGTACACATTGAGAACCAAATAAAATCAAACTGATTTTAAACGGTTCGTTGTTTGCTGCTGATTAAAGCTCACAGAACAAACACTGAAAAGTGATTCTCGTGTACCGTGATACGTCTGAGATACATTTATATGTGTGTGTGTGTGTGTGTGTGTGTGTGTGTGTGTGTGTGTGTGTGTGTGTGTGTGTGTGTGTGTGTGTGTATAGAGCTCCACTAACTGCTGCCATGTAAGACCCCTCCCCTCTCCCTCTTACCCGTCAGCGAGGCTGCACTCATGGTCTCTGCGGCGGCGGCCAGCAGGCGAGCGAACGTGGCGCTGTCGTTGGTGTAGCAGCTGTCCACTGAGCTGATGAGGCTGGTGCGGTTGCTGTCCATGTTGCTGTCCATGGCCGAGCTCCAGGTGTTCCACAGGGAGCTGTCCCAGTCACTGTAGCAGGAGGACGGCGAGCTGTGAAGCCCAGAATGACGCAGCGCCGCCGGCAACGGCTGGGCTCTGGCGGCGGCGGCCGCCGCGCCGTCCTCTGACTCGGCCGAGCCGACCGGCCCGCAGATGCTCCCCAGGGTGGAGGTGAAGCTGTGGGGCAGGGAGGGACGCTGCTCTGGCAGGACGCTGCCGAAACAGAAGACAGACCATCAGGACACACATCTGGAACATCTGGAGAGAATGAGGTGTTAAAACATCCCTAACCTGAATCTCTCAGGGTTAGGACTGAGCTCCAGGTACTCAGTGGCTTCCTGCGGCGTCAGGGAGGGACTCTGATCAGCCTCCATTAGTGTGGAGTAGGATGAAGCAGACAGGTGACTGTAGGGGGCGCCGCTGTGCTTGTTGGGTCCTGCTTGTCCATGGTAACCTGACGGGGGACTAATTGATGGGATGGAGCCCAGATCCTCTGTCAGCTTTGTGGAATGACTGGAACTGAAAACAGTTAAAAAAACAAACTCAGTTCTCATAAAGAAATCTGTAAGAGTGAATACTGCTTATATATCTTGCAGCTAAACACTCTATTAATTAAGTCCCGTCAAGTAATTTTAGTTAGTTTTGTGAACTCTCATTTCAGTTGGTTCCCCATAGTTTTGAAAAGCCTTATTTTATTTTTTTTTTACTTTTATTTCAGTTAAAGCTGCAGTATGCAACTTATTCAACAACATATTTTCTTCATATTTGTTCAAACTGTCACCACGTGACGGCATCCATGTATGAGACAGAAAATCTGTAAAATAAAAAAAGATGGAGTTCCTTCATCTCCTCCCAGGGCTGCTGTTCCCATTCAAAACAGAACAAATCAGAGTCAGGAGGAGGGTCTTGGCGCTGTCAATCAAACACGTGTACGCGCAGCTACAAATGTGCTACTGGTGGAGAAACAACTTATCATCAGTGGACGTGCTTATAATTTGTCACAGGCTAGGTTATGGCAAGCCAGGTGCAGCGCAGCAGAGAGCAAGGAGCACCAAGACTGGCTGCAGCTTTAACGACAATATTTTTTTTTTCCTTCAAGTTTTCATTATTACGTTAAAGATAATTAGCTTCCAGACAGCCGGTCGGCTTTGAGCACAGGCTGCAGGTCAGATGCCAGGCACGGTGCTAAGAACCTGACTTGTCACGTTAACAAAATAACGTGTGTGTTTATGCTAAAGTTTTGTAAGCAATGCAAATGAAAATAGTTGAATTTTGGAGAAATTTTATGACTATTCATCCATAAAAACAGTGTTGCGTCATTTTTATCCGGCCCACGCCGACGCGTCTTACCCCTCGTCTGAGGACAGGGTGTTTCTGTTTGCGGCCATCAGCGGTGGGGGGGGCAGCAGGTCCACTAAGTGCAGAGAGGCAGAGTAATGCAGCAGGCGAGAGCCAGCAGCTGCTTCCCCGCCCTGCGACGCTCCACCTGAACACGGCAAAGGAAGTCATGACGTCGCTGCTCTCCTCTGTCCAGTTGGGAGTTTGTGACAAAAACACAACGTCTGCGTACCGTGGCGTCCTGCTGGCACGTGGCTGAGTCTCTGCTTGCAGGCTCTGGAGGGACCGGCCTGGGTTCTGGAGGACAGGACCGGCACGCTGTTCACTGCATGCAGCTCTGTAGAGAGAGAGAGAGAGAGAGAGAGAGAAAGACGGGTCAGAATGCACCGGAAAAAAACATCACGCTACAAACCCCAAAAACAAAATGCTGCCATCACACTCCCAGCTCTGCCCCACCTGGCTTCCCGTGGGGTTTCTTCTCCCATGACTCCCTCAGGACGCCCATCTTTGGCTGAGGACGTATGGCCTGTTTCCAGGGCAGAGCGTCCTGGCTGCTGAGGGACGACGACTTGGAGTCAGGCTGAGCGAAGATCTGGATGGTCTCCGCCCCCTGCTGGTGAGGCAAGGCGTGAGGCACTTTAGGGCAGCGTCCCGGACTGCTGAAGGTCTTCAGGCTGCTGCCCTTCAGGTCCACGTAGAACGTTCCGTAGACGCCGCAGCTGTCGGTCACCATGGGAACAGCCGAGTCCACGATCCTGCTGTCCTGCTTGGAAGAGACTGGAAGACCTGGAAGAACAGAAATTATGTTATGCTTTATTTTTTAATTATATAATATTATACTCTGTTATAATATTTTATATTATATTGCTTTACAATTTATTTTCTGTTCTCTTTTTTCTTTTTCTTTTTTTTATTTTCTCTGCATGTTGTGACATACACGAAAAAATTCGAGTTTAGTCATTTAGAACTGTCCTAATGCTGGACTGGAGAGAAACGTTATCCATGGAACAACCCAAATGCTAAACGACAAAGACTTTCATCTGCTGTTTAATTTAAGCTTCAGTAACATTACATTCAATATCAAAGTTAAATATTGTTATGACAACATTAGTCGTGATTAAATAATTGTTTTTCCTCACTCTTCTAATTTTTTCTGTCACCGTTCCGTCTGAATGCGATGTCACATACAATGACGATATCCATGTGAAATACTGGACCCCTCTAAATATCAGCTACAGGGACAGTTCAAATGAAACAGGTCGAACGAAACACACACACCCGTGCTCTCAGCTGTGTGTGTGTGTGTGTGTGTGTCGCTTACTGGTGCTCCTGATCCCTGGATGCCTGTGACCTTGGGCCCACAAGTCCTGGTATTTCTGGCTGAAGGGTGGCCTCCAGCCACCGGACATCCAGGGAGAATCTGGAGCGGCCATCCTGCACAACAGAAAGGTAGAGACGGTCGAAGGAAAAATACATCAATAAGGACTTTAAAACAAGTTTCAGGTATGATTTCTATGTAGAGTTACAATAATTGGAAGTATTTTCCCATAACATAACATCAGAAGAAGTAATAAGGACTTCATGCAAATGAAGGAAAATAGAAACTATGTTAGCAAGAGTTAGAGTTAGACTTACTTTGTGGTCACTGCACAAAGACACTGAAAAACAGTAAGTGTGACTATATATATATATATATATATATATATATATATATATATATATATATATATATATATATATATATATATATATATAGGGGAGACCGGGAATGGTTGTAACATGGGGAGAGTTGTAACACCACCAGTTCCACCAATCAGGGACAAGATAGTAGTCACATGATCATTTCAGAATTTACCCGCTTCCTCCCCAATCCCATATTGTGATTGTCAAGGCTGGAAACAGGCACATGCAGATGCTAAGGAGAAAAAACGGATTTTGAGGTAAGAAAGTAAATTTTTTTATCATGACTATATTTTGTTTAGTACTTATACTGTTGCAGATAAAACCATATGACTTACATTAGATGAAAGTGTAATTTCTCAGGCAAAATGTGGTGCATTTTCCCGTGCTAATTTCAAACCGCTATCCTACTACAGCTAGCTAAACATGGCTGACAGGGTTGGGGTGGGTTGTAACACATCTTTAAAAAGTGTTACAACCATCCCCTTACATACAACTAAGAATATTTTTATTTTAATAATTTTACAGAATGCCTAGGCAGTGGATACGAAAGACTGATAGAGGTGTGCCTGCAGATGTTTTAAAAAAGGCATCTGATGAGGTCACAAAGAAGAGCAAGTCAGTCAGATCAGTTGCGAAGGCGCATGGGATCTGCCATGTAACACTGAGCAGATACTGCAAATCACTGCAGAAGCTGAGAGAACAGGGGTCCAGTGATCTTCCCAGTGTAGGTTATTGGAGCAGCAACAAAGTCTTCTCTGAGGTGCAGGAGGAAGTGTTGGCTGACTATTTGACTCAGGCAGCAGACCTGTATTATGGACTGACTCCATGTGAGGTAAGCATATGACAGGTTAGTCACTGGAGACAAGAGAAGAATTGAATACCAGCATAGGTGCTAGACAAATTTAAAAACTTTTTGTGTCTATGTACTCTGATTTTCTATTCCTCTTTCTTTTAGGTCAGAAAGTTTGCATATCAACTGGCAGTAACATATAACATCAAACACCCACAAACATGGGATGAGAAGCAGATGGCAGGGCCTGACTGGTTCACATTATTTATGAAGCGGAACCCTAGCCTGTCTTTAAGGAGTCCTGAGGCAACCAGCCTTACACGGGCCACAAGTTTTAACCGCCAAAATGTGGAACGTTTCTTCAACAGCCTTGGACAGGTCATTAAGAGATACAACTTCGACGGGAGCGATATATGGAATGTAGATGAAACTGGTGTAACAACAGTTCAATCACCTAACCGTGTTGTTGCTCGTCGTGGTGTCAAGCAGGTGGGTGCGATGACATCAGGTGAGAGAGGTGTGCTCGTGTCAGTAGCATGCGCTGTGCAAGCGCTGGGAAATGCAATTCCTCCCTTTTTTGTATTCCCCGTAAACGTTACAAGGAACTCTTCATTCAGAGTGGGCCAACAGGGAGTGCAGGAAGTGGTAACGCCTCAGGATGGATGCAAGAGGAAGACTTCCTCTTATTCCTTGCTCATTTTGCAAAACACACAAAGGTCAGCCTAGAGAAAAAGGTTTTACTTTTGCTGGATAATCACTGTTCACATATATCTGTTAAAGCTATTGATTTCTGCAAAGAAAAGGGAATAGTGCTACTTACCTTCCCCCCCCACTGTAGCCATAAACTTCAGCCACTGGATCGCAGTGTCTACGGCCCATTTAAGAAAATGGTGAACACCGC